CACCCCCCCTCACCCTCCTCCCTCTGCCATTCCTCGGATGGTAGCTCATGGTGCCAGTGTTTACCTTGTCCCAGTACCGGGCCCTGACATCAGCCGGCCCGCGCTGGCCCTCGCCCCTCCTCGCCCCTCCTCGTCCTCAAACCCTCTCTCCAAACCCGTTTTTTCCAGCCAAGCTCTCAATGGCTGAACTGGGATCAAGAAGCTGTCAGGTACAGTGAGGCCGAGTTGGCCGAGGTCTGGAGAGGGAGAAGAGTGTCCAAGAGAGCTGTCCATGTCCATTACTTCAGACTACTTGCAGTTTGACTCAGAAGACGTTGAGGGAAAGGCCTCAAACAGCACATTACACGCCGTGTTTATCCAGAGTGAAACAGGCATGTCAGTGTTGGAGTTTGAAAATACGTCCCTGGAGGACGACGTCCTTATCAGGAGTGGACCTGGAACAGCACCTGTGGACTCCAATCATCGTCAGATAAACTTCAAACTGAGGCAAACTGTGTTGAAGGAAATGTTGAAGCTTCAAAGTAGGAGATAGAAACACTGACCACCAGAGGTGCAGCGCCAAACACTGACCACCAGAGGCGTCAGGTGTCACTGAAAAAAACCAAGAATTTTTTATGGAAATAAATTGAAGTTTTTTCCGATCGTCACCTGCTGTGATTTACAGACTGGACAGACTGGACAGACTGGACAGACTGGACAGTAAAGGTGGACGCCGTCCTTCCGGGGTCACTCTGTATCAGTACCAGTGTTTCCCCGGGGCCGTCGACTCCCTGCAGACCTCCTGCTGCTCCACTGTTTACTTCACTTGAAAAACGCCCTAAAAACGACTGATGGAAACGATGAGATGATCAGAAGAATTCTGGCGTCCGCCTTCTGAGCAGTTTGCCGATGAGCGGACCACCGTGGGGGGGGGGTTTGGGAACCAGCTGTTCTGAAGAAACAGTTTTTGATTATTATGTAGATGATTTCAGACGGACCATCACGGCTCTGATAAGGTGTTGTTGGAGCAGACGCCCCCAGAATGACTCACAGGAAGAAGATTGATTTACCAGCCAGCAGTGGCTCTGACTGTGGAGTCAGCATTTCCAATAATCCATTCACAGTGGGGTTTTTTTTTTGGGCACTTTTACATTTAAACAAAAGTTCAGTAACATTTGCAAACAGATATTTATATTTTTATATATTTATATATAATTCTTCCTCAGTGATCGTCTGTGCTTTAACTTTACTGGGTAACGACTGAACACGTCTGTATCGTAGTTTCTTCACTCACAGCTGTGAAGAGCCAAAGTCCATCTGGGACCACGGTTTGAGAACTCACATCTCTCAGAATCTGACGTTTGATGAGATCTGAGGTCCAAGTCCCCCCCGTGGCGTTTGGCCCGGGGGTTACGTCAGGCAGTCAGAAAGTACAGAGAAACACAGTAGTACGTGCTCCGAGTACAGTAGTACGTGCTCTGAGTACAGTAGTACGTGCTCTGAGTACAGTACTGCAGGATCTGTCAGAGCTGAGCTCAGGTTTTAGTCCACGTATAGTTTTTAATTCTCTAAAGGACGTCATCATCCTGGACACCCTGGAGCCTGGATTGTTTTGGTTCAACATTTTGTTTCAGGTTTCATCTTGACATACTTTAAGATCTCCTCCTGGATTTGAGGTCAACAGATTTATGGTCTCAGGATGAAATATTGGCCTTTATTTTTGATTTATTATATATTATTTCTGCTTCTTCAACATTTTCTTCAATTCCTGACTATTGTGACTTTTCTGTTTGAGTTCAATAACCATCACTTTTATACTAATGACCTAATGAAGTTAAGAAATGTGATGTTCTGATTGCTGATTGTGTGAAATAACCCTTTAATGTCTCTCCAGGTGTTTACTCCACCAACAACAACAACAACAACAACAGCAGCGTACACACCCGGCCAAACTCGGAGTTTCTTCCTCCGTCCAGCGACACCAGGTTTCAGACCTTGGAGGGAAACTTCGAGGCCCACAGCCCCATCGCGTCACGTCCAGGGAGTGTGAGGGAGGGGTGAGTCAAAGAGCGGCCTTTTAAAATCAGCCACCGGGGGCAGAATATGACGTGATACCAGTTCGATCATTCAGGGTTACTTACGTGCTCACAGCACGTGTCAAATGTGTCAAACAGTAAACGCTCTTGTTGTGCTTTAATTAGACCTCGGACTAATTGGCTGTTAAATAATGCGTTGTAAAATAAGGAGTCGTTTCTTTTAAAAAAAACATCATTTATTTTTAGATTCTCAGCTGCAGCTGTTGTTGTCGTTCTATTCCTGACTCTCAGGCTTCTCCTTCAAATGATCGACTCCATCATTTCTTGGAGAGCAGGTCTCCTCAGTGATACTTAATGATCCGGCAGCTTCAGACAAACCCCGTTAACCCCGGGGCGTCTGCCAGGGTCTCCACTTATCTGGGACTCTGCAGCCAAGACGATAGGAACTGAACTGAAGTGGATGTTGTTTTGGTTTGGCTTCAGTTCCACGCTGGCAGCTATTTCTGCAGCAGATAAAAATAGAGGAAAGTACCCACAGTCCTCGGCTTCTCATGGTGCGTACAGGCACGTTCAAGGTCCAGCCTGAGGGCGAAGACCTGTAATCTGGACGTCTTATATCTATGCTACTAAATTTTATTCAGATCCGTACCTTTCTGAACGTTTTCAGCTTTTCATTAACCTGAAAACCAAACTTTTATCTTTGAGACAATCTGAGCAGAGCTACGCTTCATTTTTGAATTATTATTAGTTGTTTATTACCTGATGTTTGGTTATTTTATTGACATTTTTACTCAGTTCTAAACTTATGTATTTGTATTTTCATTTTTACACCTTCTGCTCTAACTGTTAGTCCATTTAACCTCTTATTGTTGCCAAACCTGCAGCTTTTTTTTTTTGGCCAAAAGCTTCGTTTTTATTGACTAATCGTGTTCACCTCATTGGCTGACTGATGGAGGATTTTCTTTGGCTGTATTTTTGCCAGTGTTTTTAAATCTCTAAGCTAATATTTAGTTTGTACCCTTAAGCAATAATATATATATATATATATATATATATATACGGTGTTATATATAATCTCGTACTACATCAGACCAGAAAGCGGTCGTTCAGACTCCGACCTCTGCTCCGATCAGACTGAGGCGGCGGAGCCTCGGCTTCTCCTCCCGTCTGTGGGAAACACACACTCCGGCCCAGTCAGTGGGCTGTGAGCTGAGGCATTCTCCACCAGACCAGAGACATTATCACCAGAGATGGAGCTCTGGCTTTGTGGTGCTGCTGATTGGATAGTTGGAGGCCACAGAACTTATGTGTACTGTAAACGGAGACTATTTCTGTCTGCCAAGTACAAAAGTAGATGTGAGACTAAAGCGCTGGAGCTGGAGCCTCCAGAGACGAGAGTTTGTGGATGAAATGGTTTCACGTTATTGGTTATTGGAGGTTTCGCCTGTAAAGTGGACTTTTATCGTCTCCACGTTAACAACAAAGGCCGCTCTGTTCAATGAGAAAGAAAGGTGATGAAGCCAAAACAACATTTCTGTGGTCACATAGATGATATTAAATCTTCACGTATAACGCAGATATTTTCGTTTGTAATTGTCTGATATTTCCAAAAGTTTGTTTTCCAAACCTTGGCAGCGAAGAGGAAGGAATTTTATTTCTTCTCTGAACACAAAGTCAAACCTATAAAAGGAATAAATCCAGCGTCCACCTTGGCATCAGGAGCAGAGCGCGGACCAATCAAATGAGGTCTGTGCTGTTCTGTGAGAACGGACCTGTCGACACTGACACACCGACGTCTCCAACACGGAACAGAGTTCACACTGTTTCTGACTGGAGTTAGTGAAGTGAAGGAGGAAGATGAACGACGAAGACCACAGTAACGACACACTTTGAGTTTCTTTCGGGGTAAAAAAATATGACATCAGGTGTTTTTTATTTTATTGACTCATTCTTGCTTTTTGCCTTCAATTTATTATTTTTTTTAGCTGAACTTCATGTTGTTTTTTAATATTATAACCTTTTATTTCACTTTATATTTATGATCTTGTTTTCAACTGTTAACTACTTTTAGTTTTTTTTAATTTATTAAATAATTTGACCTTTTGGCTTTTTCACTATATTTGTGCCAAAGTGTGGCCGTCATTTTCCTGGGCTAATTTTGCTAACATTAAGCTTTATCTTTGGCTTCACCTCGGTCGTCATTTTTCATTTTCTTTGCCGTTTGAGCTGATGTTCTATTTCAGGCGACTTCACCTCCATCAGCTGTCGTATTTAGGTGGTGGGGGGGGGCGGTGGAGGGGGCGCTGCTCAGGGTTCTTTCTGCCAGTGCGATCTCCAGGTTGGTGTCTTCAGCCAGAGCCGCCACAGAACGATGAACAATCTGTCCATTGACGTCTCGGCGCAGACTCCGAGGATGTCATCGAATCTCTGCGGTGCCACAGAACCTGAGGCTCGGCCAAAGCCAACACCAGACCAGCACTTGTTTTTCCCCCCAAACGACTTAGCGAGACGTTAAACATGTGAAAGTAAATTATCTCCGAGCTCTGACTTCACAGCCGCGCGTGTGTTTTCTCTGGCGGCCGCCGACCGTGTTGACTTCTTTAATTATTTATTACTGCAGGGAGTCGAAGGCTCAGCTGTCCATCAGCCAGCGTTTGTCATGTGCTGCGTTTGTTTTGTTTTGTGGTCCGTGGGTGAAGAACTGGATCGGGACGCGGCCGTCAACCGGGACCAATCCCACAGAAACGCTTTTCTGTAATTTAAAGGACGGAGAAGTAATTAAGTTTCTTCTGCAGAAGCTCACACTGACACCAAATCCAAATAGACGGTTCGGCTGAGAACTTTGACGACTCCACACATTTTTGTATTTGCTGGAGCCTCGAACGTGAACGTGCAGTCAGTGAACGCCACGTTCCACTTCACACAGAAGAACAGAGAAAAAAAAACTCAAGTTGAAGTGAAGACATTCAGGAATGTCACTGCTCCAAGGATTTGATGTGACATCCTGGACAGCGTGTCATGTGACCTGCCCTCAAAATATACACACACACAACCTGCGTACAGGCTTTTCTAGAACTTTCTAAAATAGAACCTACTTCAGTAGTTTGCCTGCCAACATGCAAGCCTTTCTTCTTTTACTAGTTAGCAAAAATGGGATTTAAACCAAGGCTGCGCTAACAGCCCCCTCTGCAGGATGATGATGTAACAACTAGAGTCCGTCCATCAGTGTTTACAGGATGAAACTGTTTTAGTGTTGTTGTTGTTGTCTGTTGTCTGTTGTCCGTGGCTCTGGTCTTAGACCAGTGTTAGTTGGTCTGGGTGTATGTGTGAATCTGCCGCCCCCTCTGGTGGTCCCTGCCATCTCCGTAAACCTCTGCTCCTGGAGGAATGAGAAGAATTCCGTCTGTAGTGATTTTATAGGTGGACTTTACAGAGTCTTAATCCACGGCTGCTCTTGAACGGCAGCGGACGACGTCTGGATCAGAGGAAGGGATGAGGAGGATTACAGGAGGTGTCGGGTTCGACACCAGAACTGCTCTGTTTTCAGCCCTGGCAGGAGAACAGCTGCTCTGCTGTAGAGTTACTGGATCACAGTGGATCACAGTGGATCACAGTGGATCACAGTGGATCACAGTGGATCACAGTGGATCACAGGCGCAGATTTTTCATGGTCAGAAACTCAGAGCGAGCACTTGATGACGACCAGTGTTTTTGGAGGCTGTTCTGGGTGTTGGTTTTTGTGTTTTTTTAATCAGTGACTTTGAGGGGGTCAGAAATGAGAAGAAGTTTGGAATAAAATTAAAGCAGATAGTGATGTCAGAATGAGATTAAAAAAAAAAAAAAAAGAAGAAAGGTGGCTGAACTAGAACTGAGCTGAAATGTGACTGGACTGAACCTTTGCCCCTGAACAGGTCGACTTTTACATTCAACAGTTATAGTTAGAATCAGAATAACTAACTTTCTGCAAAACTAATCTTAGTGTTAGCTAAGGTTCACAAAAGTTAGCTAAAGTGCTGCGGTTTAGCGATCCAGCAGAGGGTTAGCTAAGTTGTGCTGGTCAGTCTGAGTCAGAACCAGCCGCTGATGAACGGTGGTCATGGAGACGACGCCCTGACAGTTTAATGAACACATCAGAGTGGCAGGCCCGCGTACGCCACCGCTCAGACATCTCAGCTATGTTGTTGCAGCGTCGTAAGAATGCGAGCCGTGAAACAGCTGGATGTTTATAGTTGAGGTCAGCACTGCTGCTCGAGGGGGCCGCGGAGGGGAATCCAGAGAAGTGTGGAATTCTTGGGCCTCGCCGTCATCTCGGCACACTGGTTTCAGCAGCGTTACTATATCAAAGCTCCACTTGTTTACATAATCCTATACAGCGCCTGGCTTTTATTACCAGAGGAAACCGCAGGCATCTGTGACTTATATTGAGTTGGAGTATCAGAGGGTCCGTCTGATTAATTTGGGCTTTGATTGTGTATCTCCAGTGAAAGCACAAGACGGATAAATGGAAGCGAGCGGCGTCTGATGTGGGAAATGGGCAATAAAGGGAGCGGGGGAAGACAAATGACAGAAATGTTAAGAAACTTCTCAACGTTTCCCCCTTTTACAGCCTGTCAGATGCATATGTTGAGGCAGCGCAGCCAGCAGCCGTCAGTGTCTCCGTCAGGGCTCGGCTTGTTTATGAAGAACACTAAAACCTTTCCAGCACAAACCGAGGCCGTCGTCCTCCCCCGGGGACGATACGCTGCAGTCCATCACGCAGGAGAGTTTGAGGAGGTGGGGGGGGTGATTTTAGGGGTTCTGTTGCCACACCGACAGTTGTTCAGCTGCTCGTCTCCTCGGAGAGCGCCCCCCACTGCCAGTCCATCTTTCTCCCTGTGAACTTGGCTCCACGGACTCACTCGTTTTTCCATGTTGAGTCAGAGTGTTTGTGCTCAGTCAGCACATTCCTGCAGCGTAGCGATGGATACAGTGCCGTGCTGACGCCGCCCCCCCGCTTTCTTTTATTCAGACTCTACTGTTTGTAGGTGATTTAGAGTATTTACACTCCCTGTTTGTGTGTGTGTGTGTGTGTGTGAACATCTGCTGCCAGGCTCATCGTTCGCTCCATCTTTGTTTGCAAGAAACTTTGACATTATTTATTTATTTGGAAAAACTGAAAAAGAAAACGTACTTTTTTTTTGCTGACCATTTATTTGGAAAAACTGAAAAAGAAAACATTGTACTTTTTTTTGCTGACGTTGTTCGAATTCTTAAAAATAGACTCATTTACAAAATCGATTCCAGCAACAACACACGCCAATGAAGTTATTTCACCTGGTCCAGTCCAGTGACTGACTGACCTGATCTCAGTCAAGCTGCTGTGACACGAATCGGGGCCGCTGACCAGAGGTTGAGCCTTCTGATGGTATTTTAAACTCTAGGTGCTTTGGTGAAATGTCTCCCTCCAGTGTGTGAATGCGTAAATGACACTGATGATGTCATGATGATGTCATGATGATGATGTCACTCCTGGTGTTGTGTTTCCAACAGGAACAGGTCCACGTCCATGTTCATGTCCTCAGACGTCACTGCGTCTTCAGACAGAGCAGACGTCCGACTGCAGGCCTACCACAAACCCTACAGCCACCAACAGCAGGTGATGTCACAGCAGCACGGTAGGTCACAGCTGGAACCTGAACCCGGTCTGTCTCTGAGTTCTTCTTTCTGTTGCCTCTAACTCTGGTTCTGGTTCTGGTTCTGGTTCTGGTTCTCAGCTGGATGTCTGTACGATGAAGGGAAGGTGGTTCAGCCCGGCAGTGACGGAGGATTTGAACCCAGCGCCTACTTCACCACCCCGTCCACCTGCCACGCCACAGGTACATCAGCAGCGTCGGCGTCTGGAACTACAGCCGTCACATGTCTATGACATCATCATTCTCTTTGTTTTCCTCAGGGTTTGACTTGTTGCAGGACCTGCAGGGACAGGCAGGGGGCGGTGGCTACTCCATGTCTCCCTGCCCCGATGACAGCTTCCTGTTCCAGGGGGAAGGCGTCGACCGCTGTCTCAATCAGATCTACTCGATCTATCTGGACTCATGATCCCAGCCCTGCACCACATCATCACATCAACTTTTTTTTTTTTTTTTTTTTGATGAGCGACGACTCTGTGAACTCAAAGCCTCGTCGTTCTCGTTCCCCTCGGAGGCTTTAACTGAAAACAATCAAAAGAACTAAACTCACAACATGCTGGAAGCCAAGTGTCAAAGTGACCAAAGGAAACAAATGTGCTGGAGTTCCAGACGTCAGCAGATCATCAAAGATCTCTGAGGTTCAGTTCTTTGCTGGTTCCCAATCATGATAATGTGATGGAGGTGGACGTAGCCTCACGTCCCTCGTCCTTTTGTTACTTTTTTTTGTCTTTATATGTAACATAGTGTTAATATATTGGTCTTATAAACATTCTCTAAACTTCAAACACAGATCATTAACTATTTGGGAGTTTACTGAACTTCATCAGCCTCTGTGTCTGTGGAAGGGTTCAAACCGATGACGTATTAAACAGGAACACGTGGTGTTTAACACCTTCAAAGAAACAACTTCTAAATTATAGTGTTGTTAACTTCTCTGACTCAAAGTTAAAGTGATTGTGATTCCACTCTTGAATGTAAGGCTACAGCTTGTTAGCACCAATGCTAATGATTATTAAGCTTTATTTGTGGTGCATCATGTCATTACATGTGTTGGCACAGCAGAGCTTCTTTTTTTTGTAATCTAAAAATTCATGGGTTCATTTCCCCAGTCTAGAGTCCAAAGCGTCCCTGAATGGACAAGTTGTCCATCCATCCCGTCTGTCCTTTGGTTATGGTCCAAAGACCAGGTTAAAGGGAACGAAGTGATGACTCCTTGAGGTGAAGAAGAAAGAGTAAAAAGGAAGTTAAAGTCCCGTCCATTCTCTGCAGGAGTGGAACTGCAAAAGACCAAACTGAAGTAAACTGTAGCAATACTGCCCCCAAGCGTCCGATTGAATGTATATACTACACCGAGGTGGACTTCAGAAAAAGAAAAAGACAAAGAACAGTTCTTTAGCACCGACGTACACACTAATAGACTGTTGTACCTATAATCCAACAACAACGAACACGAAGTATAATCAATCTTTCTGTTTTTAATGTTGTCTCTGTTGCTTCAGCTTGTTCTGTGTCTAACAGCCGGCGTTTTCTCTGCAGGCCTTAAAGGAAGGTGTACTTTGTTTACTGACGTCAACAAATGTACATTGTTTACAATACAATTGTCTGCACTCTGTTCTAAACCGTTGACCAACAAGAAAATGTTTACATGGTCGGACTTTGTAGCAAGTCAGAGGATTCTCATCAGTGTTTTTAAAGTGTCTTTTGTATCTGAATAAAATCACGGTTTGTACGCGTTGGTTTATGACGTCATGTCCTTAAGATGTGGTTTCAAGTCCTGCAGAACAGATTAATCACTGAATTAATCTGTTCTGATTATCGTTATCATTTTATGCAGCCCTCAAAGGGTTAATGGGGAAAAAATAAACAATAAAAAATTAATTAGGATGATTTAATAATTCTAAGAATTAGGTTTTATTTTAGCTTTTGAATACTAATTAACACGGATAACTATCGGCCATATATACGCCAATAAAAACTGTCTGCAATACCACTTGTGACCAAAAGACGGCACTGTTAACACACTTAATAAATTCTAATAATATATTTGTACTTTTTCAACCTTTACTACTGTTAGTAAATTGTTAACATCATTAAATAATGTAATAAATTATATTTCATACATAAATAAATATATATTTATTATATAAATAAAATAAGTGGGGAAATATCGATATTTTATCACTTATTAACTAAAAGAATTTCCTCTAAACATATTAGTATGGATGGTTGGTGTTGGCAGATTTATATACAGACAATAATTATAATAACGTTAATATTTAACAACGGTTACTCATCATTATGAACAGGAAACATTTTTGACTGTCTGCAATAACTTATATGTCCAGTAGAGGCGTGTAGGCAACCATGTTGAGTAGTACTGTAAATACCAAAATGTTCCGCCAGAGGGCGTACTGCTGACATAACGCTACTTAGTTGAGTTTTAACTTCGAAGATGAGAGAGGAGTTGAGTGATTGGCCTTTCCTGTCGCAGGTAACACTGACGTCAGCAACGTGTGAATGAAACACACTTTCTCTGCAGCTTCACACACTTTAAACAAGCGCGCTCTCTCCCTCTCTACCTCTCTCTGTCTCTCTCTCTCACTCACACACACCCTCACACACAGGTAGACGCTAACACACACGCGGTAACTGTGAGCCGAGTCTCCATTATTTCCACATTCCGCTGAGAGGAAGACACTCCCTCGGCTGAGCTCAGCTCAGCTCGGCAGCAGAGGTTGAACCAGTCCAGCTGTGGGATGAACGGAGTCCGTGGATGACATCTGATCCTGGATCAGAATCCTGAGTCCTCAAACCTGCGGCACTTCTCACGCACATGGGTAAGAAAAAAACAACACACTCTTCATTTATATATTGTAACTTTTTTTATTTTACCTGCTAATGTAGGCTAACCGGCTTTAATGAACTCTAATCATATTAAGAACATAATTATAAACATGTGAAATTAAATGTAAAATAAAAACGGGTGAAATTATGAATCAAAGACTTAATTTTAGCCGTTTAATGTTTTACAAAGTTATTCCAGGGATAAATACAAATAGAGTTAAGAAGTTAGTGCTGAAACTGACAGCTAATAGCTAACAGTTAGCTCAATAAAGCCAAAGGTTAGCTTTTTATTACCTTATTATTAATGTCATCATGAAGCAACGATGAGCTGAATGACAAATGAACAATGACGTCAACAATATAAAAAGAAAGTTCAAAGGATTCAATCTGTTGATGTTAAATCTTTATTTCTGTCAGTTTAACACTTTTTTATATATATTTAATACCAAAAAACACACATAAAACTTATATGTTTATAAGTTATATAAAACACCAAGAGTTTTCTGTCCAGAACACACACTCGGTCCGGCCCTGTGTGTGTGTTGTGTGTGTGTGTCTCTCAGCTCTGCTTTATTATTTACACATCACTTCAGTGTGAGAGGAGAACAGAGGCCGTTACTTCAGAGGAAGCTGCAGTCGGGGAGGATGTCGCAGAACACATTTCTAGAAAATGAGATCAGCAGCTGTGTCCAGATATGAACCTCTCTCTCTCTCTCGCTCTCTCTCTCTCTCTCTCAGTCACATGTACAAAGGCCCAGAGAAGTGTCTAGAATGACGGTCTGGGCTCCTCGGCCCTCCGTCGTCACTCGTTTGTGTGCTAATGTCAGGAATCCCAGTTGAAGTGATTTGACAGTGATTGGATTCTAAAGTTCAGATCTCTGTGTGAGTGGAACTGAGAGGCAGCTTTGACCTTTGACCTCCTCCCTGTTGTCAGTCTGACACAGATGTTTGCCCCCCCCCCCATATCTGTCATTTGTCGTCTGTAAGAATAGTAATTGAACAGCTGCTGTGAGAGGACTGACATTGTTGTTGGACAGTTATCAGATGTGTCCGTCTGTCTCTCAGACTTTGGACCAAAACACGTCCTGTGTCCAGTTTCAGGGAGTGACTGGTAATTTGTTGTTGTTTTTTTATATCTTCAAATGTAGCGGTTTACCAAATGTCACGCTTTCTCACAGAGACACGAGTCAGAAAAGAAACCTGACATTAACGCGGTGACACTGAGGATAAATTACAGAGTGGGACTGAAGAAAACTGACATGATTTTCTTACCTCTGCATTTAAACTGTTTTTGTTTTGTTGATGTTGTTTTGTTGACGTCTTCTTGGTCATTATTCAGTTATATTTTTGGGTAACAATCAGCTGTTTCTCTGCTAACTTGTAGTTGTCTTTTGGCTAACCTCTAGCTATTTCTGGGCTAACTATATATGGTTTTCTGCCAATTATAAGCTATTTTCTGTCATACCGTATGTTAAGTTACTATTTAGCTTTAATGCTATGGCTTTGCTTATCTTGGTAAGTGTCTGATTGGCAGATTAGTATATACAAACATATATATCCTTATTGTTCATGTCCATCCCTTACCCCCCGCCCCGGTGTTTGTTTAACTCCCGTCTGTTCTCTAACACACTCTCACTTTAGCATCTGTTTTTCCCCCACAGTCAAACACTGGACTCCTGATCCCCGGTGACCACGTCACCATGCCAACTCCCAAGCTCCTCACGGCAACCAGGAGTCCTCAGAGAAAACGTTAGGTTCACCGTCGTATGAACGTGGGTCGGCTTCGGTGCTGAGGCAGAGAGAGAGCGGCGGCAGGTAGGACGGGGCGGGAGCAGGAGCAGAGCAGAGACCAGGATGTGAGGACGACCTCTTAACTTTACTGCTGTGTTTCATGTTCCAGAGATGTTTCTCCAGCGCACCCTCCTGGTCGTCTCCGTGCAGCTGATGAACACAGTGTGTGTGTTTGGATGTGTCTGTCCAGCAGCCACTGTTTCATCCCACCTTCCACTGGAGACCCCTGCTGGAGGCTGTTGTCTCAACCTCTCCGGCTCCGTTCTGAACCACGTGGACTGGTCCTTGTTCTCCAACAGAACCGGCCTGGAGACCCTGGACCTCTCCCACTGTAACATCAGTTCCGTTAACAGCAGTGGGAGTGAAGTGTCTTCACTGCAGAGGGTTTACTTGGGTTACAACAGACTCAAGACGTTGCCGGCAGAGTTTCTGGCCCGGCAGTCCAACCTGCTGGAGGTGGATCTGCGTGAGAACCTCCTCCAGGAACTCCCTGAGGGGTTCCTCCAAGACTCCGACAGCCTCCAGGTCCTGCATCTCCAGGAGAACCGGCTGAGCTTCCTTCCCAAGTCTGTACTGACGAGGCCCAATCTGTCAAGGCTAGAACTCCAGGGAAACCCCGTGGATTGCTCGTGTTTGCTGATGGAGGCTCTGGATGAGGCCGTGAAGGTGAACAGGACCACGGAGCTCCAGGATCTGTTGGTGAACCTCACCTGCCTCACCCCCAGGCACCTGTTTGGACGGAACGTGTTCTCCGTGAGGCTGAGTGACGCCTGCCGCCCCGCCGGCCTCACTGCGCTCTTCATCGTTCTCCCTCTCCTCATCCTCTCTGCCCTGGTGCTCTGCTGGTGCTGCGGGAGGAAGAGGAGGAAGAAAGACACGCCCGCCTTCGGCACCTCTAAGAAAAAGAGCTCAGGTACCAGCTCTAACGGTCAGTACCATCACAGCAAGCAGCCGTCTGCAGCCGGTGTCCAGAGCAAAGTGGCAAACAGCCCCGGTGGAGGGATCCTGAAGAACCAGCTGCTGCTCCGTCCTTCCTCCGCCCTCCTGGGCAGCACCAGGGACATCTACGAGGAGGTGGAGGTGAAGCTGGGCTCCGTGGAGTCTCTCCCCCCGGACCTCTCCCACTGTTCCAGCTCCACAGACGGGAGGCAGGGCGCTCCGGAGCCCGACGGTGTCAGTAAGTCGGAGCTGGACACGGTGAGTGTGACGGAGGTGATGAAAGACTCGGCGGACAGGGAGAAGGCCTACCTGACCCAGTCCACCGAGTACTACAGTCTGGTCCCTGGGATCCAGCTGGACGACTCGGACCATGGAGAGTATGAAGACGTCAGCCTGTCGTGACCAGAGTTTCAAGGAATAGTTTTCACATTTCACCTGTGACTCACAGAGACCCTGACAGTGTCGGGGTCTCACATGAAGGGGTTCTTTTAACATTGTTTGTGTCAATGTTTATGGATGTTCACGGAGGATTGATTTATTTTTAGAGCAAGTTTCAAGGTTCAAATCCTGGTCTAAATGTTGTATAGGTTTTCCAGTTTTCCAGGAGTACCAGGAGTACCATGAGTACCATGAGTACCAGTACTGGGATGTAGTACTATCTGGTTAGATCAAACGTAGCTTCTTACAGATGATAATACGACGTAGGTTTTGGTTCTTGTTCCTTTTATTTGTTAGTAGAATGTTCCGGCGTCTGTCAAAGGTCATGAAGAACAGTTGAGTCTCCATGAAGGAATGCTAAGCTAAAGGTTTGTGATAATGTTGGTTGATTGTTGGTCAAACACTGAACAGCTTCAGAGACTTCCTGTCCTCCACGACCGTCTTTTCATCGTTGGTTTCTCCGTCTTCAAACCAGGAGACTCATTTATTTAGTTTTTAATGTTGTCTTAAAAAAAAGTGTTTTTCTTTCTAAAAAAGCACTGATTAAAATGCAGTAGAAGACACAGGGTGTGTGTGTGTGTGTGCTTATGTACTGTGTGTGTGTGAAGTTCCACCTCCGTAGCCTGACAATTTAAGAGGAAGTGATGTAATCCCCAGAGTTTCCTGTGGGACCTGACAGGAAGACGGCTTTTATTCTCTTCAAACAAAGGTGACGACGGCCCTGGTTCTGTACGAAAATATAAAATGTGAGTTGAGAAATGAAACACACACACACTTCACGTGACTGTGAAAGCAGGACTCCGCCCTAAAGCTGCACAACTAGAAATATAAGTCATGGGCGGTGACTGATGATGTCATCATGTTCACCGCAGGTGTTAGGGTCAACACCAGCTCAGAGGTTCACACACACACACACACACAGAGGTCAGAGCGGCGTGTGTGTGACGAGACGCACACACTTGATTTCTGTCTTTATTCAGTCACACACACACACACACAGTGGCCTTAGAGCTAATTGTTGTGTGTGTACCATGGCGGGGTGTGTGTGTGGCGGGGGGTGAGGCCCAGGGTGTGGAGCTTCCTGGAATTTAAAGACAAAGCTGATGTTTCCAACATCTTTACACGGACTTTCCATTAACGCATTGATAAAGTAACAGGGGGGGGGGTGAGGGTGGGAGGGTGGTTTACTGCAGATGACCAAAGATGTAAGGTCAAAGGTTAAACAAACGTTAGTGATTGTTACAGTTCTGTGTCTGAGGCTCAGGGATTTGGCGACCTCTTGTGGTCATCTGTGTGCCCCACACTATTTAAGAAGATGTTTGTTTCAGGATCATGGCTACAGCGGTGGTTGACAACAAGGGGGGGGGGTCACGTCTCTGCTCCACATCCTTTCACTGGCTCTCCCTCCG